AAAGTCAGCCCTTTGATATTGCTGGACCAACCTAAAGACTGCAAGAAAATAGGTTTGTAAATGGAAAAAAAAAAAAGGATTAAGAAGGTTTCAGGGAGTGAGGGTTGGGAGGTGTTGGGGGTTTCTTGCGGCTAGAGGCCCAATTAATGGCTTATTTATGATTTATTAGCAGTTTTTCATTTCCTCAGCAAACAGGCAGACGATAGGTTGGTCTCATTATAGCTATAGTCAGCACCATGCTAGGTTTAAGCATACAGGAAAGCAATAACAGAATTGAAGTATATGTGAATCCTCACCTTGTAAAACAAACCCATAAAGTTTATGAAAGAAATGAACAGTAAAACATTTGTGTGTAACTGAGAAACAGTAGAAACATTATACATATATTTATTTTTATCACATACCGCTGTTGTGGGGGAGGGGGAGAAGAAACAGCAGTACACTGATCTTCCCAGTGAATGGCTTTGTGGAGGGGGTTAAAGGAAGAAATTGGAGTGTATCTGGGTGCCAGATCACTTCCAAAAAATTGGGTAATATTTTAGTGCCACGTCCTAATTATAATAGTCAGAGATTGAAGGGAAAAACAAACCCTGCAGGTTATCAGATTTATGAGCCTTGTGGTGCAAACCTTTGTCCGTGCCCTCTGTGGTTATGATCGTGTCTCCTTAACCACATGCTGTAGAAATACGGCGGCAGGGCGGCACGGCTGGGCAAAACCACGTGTTAAAACATGTGTTTTCAAAACAGGTAGGGGGGCGTGCGCCCTACCTGTCCTGCCGATCACAGCCCCGGATGTCAGTCGCTGGGTCACAGCCGTTCGTTACCGGCTATGTCCCGGCGATCGGAGGCAATCACTGACAGAGAGCACAGCTGCAGTAGCTCTGCTCTCTGTCAGTTCCCTGACAGCTCCAGGACACGCTGATCGGGACAGAAGAGTTTCTCTCTCCGAATCAGCGTGTTCCCCGTGCAGTACACAACCCCCCCCCCCTAGTAAAACACTCCCCTCACACAGATAACCCTTCTCTGAATAATAAACTTAATCGCTTCCTCCCCCAGTACCATTAGTACAGTGTCAGCGTATTTTTTTTTGCACTGATCACTGTATTGGTGTCACTGGGGATGTCAGTGACCCCAAGTCAGTTCCCCCCAGTGTCAGAATGTCCGCCGCAGTCCCGCAGTCCTGCCATAAGTCGCTGATCACCGCCATAAGTCACTGATCGCCGCCATAAGTCACTGATCGCCGCCATTATTAGTATAAAAAAAATTAAAAATCCCAGTATCTTTCCCGCCATTTGTAAATGCTATAACTTTCACGTAAACCAAATAATTTATACGTATTGTTTTTTTTTTTTTTAGCAAAGACATGTCACAGAATGCATTTTGGCAGAAATTTATGACTAAATTTGATTTTTACATTTTTTTTTTACTGGACATGTTTTATAGCAAAAAGTCCAAAATATTGTTTTTTTCCTCAAAATTGTCAGCCTTTTTTTTTATAGCGCAAAAAATAAAAACTGCACAGGCGATAAAATACCACCGAAAGAAAGCTCAATTTGTGGGGAAAAAAAGGATGTAAATTTCATTTATGTACCGTATTGCATGACCGCGCAATTGTCCGTTAAACTAGTGCAGCGCTGTATAGCAAAAAAATTGCGTAAATTGCAGTATCTATACCATAGATTGTAGACGCTATAACTTTCACACAAAGCAATCAATATACACTTATTGGGATTTTTTTTTACCAAAAACATGGAGCAGAATACATTTTGGCCTAAATTTATAACCAACTTTGAGTTTACTATATATTTTTTATAGCTGAAAGTAAAAAATATCGTTTTTCTTCAAAATTTTTGACATTTTTTGTTTATAGCGTGAAAAATAAAAAGTGCACAGGTGATCAAATACCACCGAAAGAAAGCTCTATTTGTGTGAAAAAAAGGACGTAAATTTTGTTTGGGTGCAGCATTGCATGACCGCGCAATTATCAGTTGAATTAGTGCAGCGCCGAGTAGCAAAAAGAGGCCTGGTCATTAAGGGGGGTAAATCCTCTGGAGCTCAAGTGGTTAATATTAAAATTTTTTGACCTGCCTTCTAGTGAAAGGCTGGGCTTACTTTCTTGATACCCCCAAGTATTTGACGGGCTGGCCCAGGTGTATTATCTTGTCGCACTATCATGACTGGGAGTCTTCTTCTTTTAACTGCTTTTGATGTTTGAGGGTATCTTCCCCCGCTTTTCCTTGGCAATTGTTGCTTTGTGGAAGGAGAGGACCATTTTCCTGTGGAAAGGATTGATTTGTGAAACAAATAGTTCTATTAAAGACCATTGGAGTTTTGCACTGTCAGACATTTTTGAGCCCCCATATCAGGCCTTTTGTGGCCTCTAGCCTTGTGGAATATACAGAGGAGGCCTATCCCTTGCACACGGAGGGTTTTGCTGCTGCATGGTGCATATTGATATCATATATTTTACTACTAAGCCCCTGAAGAAGCGATCACTATCACGAAACATGTCGGCCATTTTCCTGTGGCTTAATGTCCTCCAACCCCCCCCCCTATAGAATTCATATGGTGGTTATTATGTCTCCAATCATTAGGGTGATCCTTGTATACGGTGGGCTGTGGGACATTGTCTGTGGGGACAGTAGAACTATGATCTTTTAAACTGCAAGATGTTTTTCCATGACTTATTGTCATAATAAACTACAAATGATTTTACTAATATGTGTTTGGAATTTCTGTGCCTCTCAAGTTCATTTGCAGGGGGGGGGGGGGGGTGTCAGGAAAAGCCTGATCATTGGGGGAGAGCAGACTGAGTTCCCAGCACAGCTAGATGACTGACCACGCTGTGCTCTCATGACTAGTGTGGTCAGTTTTTTTTTAAATTGGAAAGCAGATGGATTGACAGGAACACCAAATTTCACACAAAGGAAGCAAAACAAAGAGAACAGGACACTTTTATGTTCAATATTTTTATTGAGGTTTTAACAAACATAACAGAAGATGTTAAATGGTTCAGCACAAGGATAGAATAAGAAAGATGTCATAGTACAAATTAAACAAGGATGTTGAACCCCTCCAAGTAATGGGGGGGGGGGTTGTAGAAGTCTAGAGAACAGTGACATTAGAGGTATTCTCACAAATGTGTTGAACTAGTGAACGAGGCAGTTGAGAAAGTATTAAACAGGGGAAAAATAGGGGGAGGGGAGGAGGTAGGGGGTATAACTTGGTAGAGGAGGGGGTACCAGCTTGGGGTGGGTTTGGTTAATGGGTCATATGTGGGTATGTGGATTTTTAATCAACAGGACACTTTTACATACAAGTACATGGTACAGAAGACACATATCAGGAATATGAAATGTTGGGTTTAAATATTACTTAATACAAAACGTTCCTCAAGTAGGATGAGTGGAAAAAAACTGGGAAAATGCAAAAACTAGATCTTTCATAGTTTTAATGCAAGTACCTAACACTCCTCCCTGCCCATAGGACGTCATATGAAGTCCTCGGGTTGAAGTGGATTTGCATCTGCAGCCATCATCCTGGGATCTAGATTTTCAGCTGGTGATTCCCAGTATGGCTGAACAGTCACTCGATCACTTCTGTGGGCAGCAGGGGCGGACTGACCATTTGGAAACTCGGGCACTGCCCGAGGGCCTGGGGTCAGTAGGGGGCCCCATGAGATGCCCCTGGTACCTTTTTCATAGGCTTTTTTTGAGTTTAGGCAAGGACACAGGGGCCCCATGATCCCCTATTGCCCGGGTCCCCATGAGTTGTCAGTCCGCCCCTGGTGGGCAACGTAAGTGTAAGTCCCCCCCCTCCCGCCGTTGCCTATCCTAGGCTCACCGATCAGATTGTGGAGACCAGGAGTGCTGCAACCAACGGAGACAGTAGAACTAGACAGAAAGCGGAATTGACGTTGTCTCTCCCTCTCTATGACCCTGGAAACCAGAAGCAACGAGGATTTTGTCAATACCAATTTCGGCCAGGTAATCAGCCGATCAGATTGATCTGTGTCTTACTGGCTGTATTGAAGGCCAAGGGAGAGATATGGGGTCTAATAGACCCCAGATCTCTCCGTAAGGAGAACCTGTCACCGCCCATGCTTTTACAAGGGATGTTGTTCATCACTTGTGAAAGCAATAAAGTTGATAGAAAAAAAAAAGTGACAGTGTAAAAATAAAAGTTTCAAATAAAATAAAAAATAATGAAAAAAAAAATTAAAAGCACCTCCTTCCCCCGTGGTTACACACAAATGCAAACTCATATGTACGTCACGCGCATATGTAAACGGTGATCGCGCCACACTTGTGAGGTATTGTCACGAAGGTCAGATCAAGAGCAATCATTTTAACTCCACCTCTCCTGTTTATCTCTAGACTAATAACCTGTAAAGGCTTTTAAAGTGTTGCCTATGGAGATTTTTAGGTACCGTAGTTTGGAGCCCATCCATGGGCATACGCAATTTTAAAGAGTGACATGTAAGGTATCAATTTACTCAACATAACATCATCTTTTATATTTTTAAACAAAACAGTAGGCACTATATAGTGTTGGTGTGCAATAAAATTCCTTAACCTCCCTGACGGTATTCCCGAGTGTAGTTTTTCCCCAAAAACTGCTCCGGCAATTGTGTTTGAAAAAACCACTGCACAAATATAGTCTGACATAAAAAAAAATTGCAACACCCACCATTTCATTCTCTAGGGCCTCTACTAATATATATATATACATTCAGTCGTATCCGACCCTTGGCAATTGCATGGACCGTCACTCGCAAGTGACTTCTTCCATGGATTTTTCTTAGCAATTATTTACAGGGTAGGTTGCCAGATCTTTCCCCAACCCCCACCATGCAGGAGATCCCGCATGGCCAGGGAAGAAACTAGGACAATTTAATAAATTTATTCTCTAGGGCCTCTATAATATATATATATATATATATATTATATCATATATATATAAATATTTTAAATGAATCCCCAACCCCCACCATGCAGGGAGTCCCATGGGGGACTAGATATAGTGAATGGATGGGTCCGGGGAGACTAGATATACTGAATGCAGGGTCCGGGGAGACTAGATATACTGAATGCTGGGGTCTGGGAGAGACCAGATATAGTGAATGCAGGGTCTGGGGAGACCGGATATAGTGAATGCAGGGTCCGGGGAGAACAGGAATATAGTGAATGCGGGGTCCGGGGAGAGACCAGATATAGTGAATGCAGGGTCCGGGAGGGGAGAGCGAGATATAGTGAATGCAGGGTCCAGGGAGACCGGGGATATAGTGAATGCAGGGTCCTGGGAGACCAGTGAATGCAGGGTCCAGGGAGACCGGATATAGTGAATGCAGGGTCCGGAGGGACTAGATATAGTGAATGCAGGGTCCAGGGGGGACTAGATATAGTGAATGCAGGGTCTGGGGAGACCAGATATACTGAATGCAGGGTCCAAGGAGAGACTAGATATAGTGAATGCAGGGTCCAGGGGAGACTAGATATACTGAATGCAGGGTCCGGGGAGACCGGATATAGTGAATGCAGGGTCCAGGGAGAGCGGATATAGTGAATGCAGGGTCCGGGGAGACCAGATATAGTGAATGCAGGGTCCGGGGAGAGCTAGATATAGTGAATGCAGGGTCCAGGGGGACGGATATAGTGAATGCAGGGTCCGGGGGGACTAGATATAGTGAATGCAGGGTCCGGGGGGCTAGATATAGTGAATGCGGGGTCCGGGGAGACCTAGATATAGTGAACTGCAGGGTCCGGGGAGAGCTAGATATGGTGAATGCAGGGTCCGGGGGACTAGATATAGTGAATGCAGGGTCCGGGGAGACTAGATATACTGAATGCAGGGTCCGGGGAGACCTAGATATACTGAATGCAGGGTCCGGGGAGACTAGATATACTGAATGCAGGGTCCGGGGAGACTAGATATACTGAATGCAGGGTCCGGGAGACCGGATATAGTGAATGCAGGGTCTGGGTTTAGTTACACTTTAACTCACCATGAAATTATTACTAATAGTTATTAGTTATTTTATAGTGTAATATTTACAGTAAATCATACTATTATACTGTACTTATGTATTGATATGATTTTAAGGAAAAAAAATGCCCATGCAATGGGGATTATTTACTAAAATTGCATGGTGCAAAATCTGGTGCAGCTCTGCATAGAAACCAATCAGCTTCCAGGTTTTTTTGTCAAAGCTTAATTGAACAAGCTGAAGATAATAGCTGATTGGCTCCCATGCATAGCTGCACCAGATTCTGAGTGCTCCAGTTTTAGAAAATCCCCCCCTCCAATGTATTTCTATATAAGTAACATTTTGGCATTTGTCTAATGTTTATATGTCCATATGATTATTTTACTCACCATGAAATTATTGTTATTAATTATTATCTATCATATAGTTTAATATTTACAGTTAATCATATTATTATACATATGTATCATATACAATATACTGTATAGTAATAACACAGTTGATATTAGTATCACCTGACAATCTCCAATATTAATTGAACATTAGTATTAGTTTTAAAGCTATTAACCCCCCTGGCGGTATTCCAGAGTGTAGCTCGGGGTAAAGTTTCAGCACCACAAGAGGTTACCCCGAGCTACACTCAGGAATACACTGCACTGTTGCTAAGGGATCCCTCCAGCACTTACCTTGTACTTTTCTCCCACGATGTCCCCCCTGCAGTGTCCCCGGCCATTTCCTCCGGCCGATGCCGGCATCTGTCTTCCGGGTTCCGTTCCCTACGAGCATCGGGACATACGGGGGACGGAAGCGGCGAGAAATTTGAAAATGTAAAAAAGTGATATTCACGCAATACACTAAAATCACATAGTAAAACATTTACTGTATCAAACCATTTCACATACATTTTGTCCCGAGTGCTTTTTCCGGCGCCCTGCCTGCATTTTTACTGTTCTTTCTGCCTGGAAACTGAGAAACGTCCATGGCGTCCAAAAAGCGTCCCTTTAGGTCAAAAGCGGTTTTAGACCGGTTAGAGAACAGCGATAGTAAATCAGAACCACTTGCAGAATTGAGTGATAATGATTCGTGGGGGAAATTCGTCATCACACACTGAAAACGATTCTGCGACTTTGCTGAGCGATGTGCGAACTTGGCGCTATATTTCACATTTCAGTGTTTTTGGTTTGATTTATATTATTTGAATTACATTTTTTTATTATTTTATTATTATTTTTTATGTAATTATTTATTAAATTATAATTTATGATTTGAGCGTGTTTCAAATTTTATCATCCCCGGGATGTTTACTAGACTCAGACAGATTTCAGTAATTCCTAAAAATTACAGACCTACAATAAAAAAAATACATATTTCCAAGCAAAAAAATGTACCGCTTTGAGCACAGAAATACTGACATAATCAGACTGCTTGGGAGGTTAAAGGACATTTTAATGTTGCCCTTTGCCCATCATTAAAATCTTTGCTCTCCTCTAAATGGAATTTTTTTTTTTTTTGCTATGGTACATGTTCCCCAGGGTGGTGCAAAACACCCCATGCCATTTAGTCAACAATCCATTGCTATAAAATGGGCATTACTGATTTCTATTGACTTCAGAGGGGTTTGGACTGATTTCAGTGAGTTATTCCTAAGAATTACAGGCCTACAATAAAAAAAACCAACATATTTCTATGCAAAAAATGTACCACTTTGAGCACAGAAATACTGACATAATCAGACCTCTAGGGAGGTTAATAATTACTAATAATTAACAGCTGTTCTTATTTTTCTACCACTATCCATTATGTGAATTCTAATTTAATTTTCAAAATAATTTTTTTTAATTCAAGTTGTCCTTACTGGTATTTGAGGTTTTTCTGGAGCGTTCCTCAGTGTTACGATTTCTTATGCTATATGTCGAATGTTAGCCCTGATGAAGGATCCGCCCACCAAAATTGTTAGCTTTGCAAAAAAAAAAAATTATCATTGGAATAAACTTTTATTTTGAATTTTGGAGTTGAATATTATAGTGTAGTGATTCAATTCTAAATTACTAGGAAAAAAAATTACTTTTTGTAAGTTTTTGGGAAACCATAGCCATCTGGGCACCGAAATGAGAAGGCCATTTTAATAACAGTGAATGTGAGGAATTAAATACATTATATGAATTGAATGTTCCCTTATTGGTCAATTTTGGACTATTTTCCCTATGCTTGCTTTTTATCATGACATAATTCCCACTTATATGTTACGTAAATTTAGTTTGAACAAGAAATCTGGGTCTCTAACAAGTGAGATCCTGGAAGTAGTTTAATAGTCTAGCGCGAAGCTGAAACTTTTCTTACGCCTCCCCAAAGAACACTTTTCAAAGCGCATTGTACATTAACATAAAGGTCTGCAATCTGTCAGCTAATATGAATGTGGTCATTTGTTAGGAAGTTGAAATAACATGATGCACTGGAGGCTTGCTATGCTGAACTTTTTGGCTATGATAATAGATTAGTCCATGATTTACTGAAGAAGAACGCTGGGGAAGTCTATTTAAATTTTAAGAACAAAACTGGCTTTATATCATTTCGGAAAATGAAATACCCAAGGTTATCCAAAGACTAAAATTTGCACAAATGAAGGTTTTTTTTTTTAAGACATTTATCCGCTAATTAGCTATGTTTAATTAAATGTCAAAATACATAAACACTAATGCCAAGCCATGAATGTATAATCCGTGCTGTGAATTACTTTCTCGTGTGTTGTTAACCAAAGTTTTTGCTCTTTGGTTTCCCTTGGGTCCAGCTGACAAAATCAAACCGAGTTCCGATTTGCTCATCCATAATTTATTTGTGAGCTTCGGGTCTTCGAAGGAAATTTGTACCAAGAGAAATGGTTAGCCAGCTATAGATTGGTGGATACTAGGTGCTAGAATGCTCTGATTTTTTTATATGTTGATTTAATGTTGTTGTTGTCATCTAGTAGCATGGAAATATTGGAAACGTGAAGCTTTTGAATGCTGAAGGGCTTCTACAATGACCTTGGGTTATGTTAAGTATAAACAATGTCAGCACCTAATATATTGCAATATACTAGTCCTTAGATGATGTGGCTACATTAGTTTTTGAACTTACAGGAGCTACCCACCACCAGAGAATAAAGAGGATGAAGAGCATATCTAAACCCAAGAAACAAATTGTAAGCACCTGTGGTGGTGAGCCCTTGTAGATAGTCAACTTGGGGTTCCCCAGGGTGTGGAGTCTAAGCCCCAGCTTGCTTCTTCACCAGAGCCCCTGATGGTGGAGATGGACTTGCAGCAAGCTAGGACCAGGTTGCAGCCCCCGGGTATGCCTAGCTGAGGATGAAGAGACCGCTCATGAGAGCAGAGTACAATGGGAGGAGACAAACGGAAATCCGATAGACTAGCCGAGGTCAGAACAGGTGGAAAACAAGCACAATCAGAGAACGAAGCCGGGGTCGGTACACAAGTAGTCGATGCAGGATACAGGAGATAGCAACACAGGAGCTCCGACAACTAGGAAGTTGCTCAGGCAATGTGGCCTAGACTGAGCATGTCTTACAAAGGCAGGCAAACAAGGAGGCGGGCCAGGAAGTGATGGAAGGGAAGAAAATAAAACCCAGAGAACAGCAGACGATACCCATAGGTGAGCACAGACACACATGTGAAAGGGATCAGGAATAGCACTGCAGCAAGGAGGTAAGAACACAAACAAGAAACTGCAGGCTAACTTGTGACAAATGAATTTAGAACTGAAGCGTCACACCTTAATATGTGTTTAATTCATTGATTAATTGTTTGCAAAGTTAACACATTTTGGCGGCTGTAACTTTGCCCATTATCATTTTAAGTGCTTTGTCGTAATTCATTTATCTTTAAATTTTTTCACTGAATTTATTTAAATTACATAGTTCCCCAGGAATCATGGTGAGAGGGGTATCCTGCAGGAGTTGGGGGCACAATTCTGGGAGTCACAGAAAGCTTTTATTAGAAAGCTGACAGTCGGCATGTGCATATGCAGCGCAGATGGTGAAGCCTGGCAGAGTCCTGGATTAATCTCCTCCTGCACATGCTCAGAAATGCGGTGCATTTTGATGACATCAGACGCCACATGTGCTGATCCCGGATATCTTGGAAACTCTGCCAGGCTTCACCATCTATGCTGCATATGCACAGCACCATCTGCTGGCAGACACCTTGGAGATTCCACCCGCCTTACCATCCATGTTGCACATGCACAGCGCCACCTGCTGGCGGACTCAATCGATCTCCTCTCTGGATCAGTCGCACAACAACATCTGGCTACAGATGTCTCATCCTCTTACCCCTGAGCCTGTTTTAAAATTCTAAGATGTGAGTTACTACTTTAATCTTTCTATTAAATACCTTCACAGTACACACTTAGAGGCGCTATGTTTCTTTGTTTCCCTTCTGCAGAGTTATGCTTCGCTCCTACGCAGCTTGCCCTTAGTGCCTACTGGACTACCTTCACCCCTGCCCTTTTGGAACTAATCAAACATACATGGACTGCCACACCATGCGCCTGTTATCCCTTTTGTATTGACCACTGGGAACCCCAACTGGGATCTCCCCAGTTTTTTCCCAAAAAGCCTCTTGAGGGCACTATCATCAGCCCCTATTCATATGGTATGACCTGCAGTGGGTGGTAACCTTCCTGAAAAGAGCAGCAAAAACCTGTCCAGCAGTGTTAACCCTTTCTTCTCAGGAACCACCAGCTCAGCAGATCAACTAAAGACAACA